CAGGCTCTGGAGTCATGCAGATCACCCACTGGACTCCTATGGCTCCTGCAGTCTGGGCCAGAGTTGGGAAATGTCTGTGCGGGAAGGAGCAAGATGAAACCTGAGGATTTAAAGGCCCCTGGGAGAGGACAGGCGCACAGTGGGTGGAGAAGCAATATGGTGCCTGCCATGCTGGCTTGGGCCCGTGGGGATGAGAAGTGCCCCAGGGAAGCTGAGAGCCTGGTCCCCTGTCCACAAGCAGTTCCCAGCTCACTGGTGGTGGCAGCCTCTGGACCTGTGTGGACAGAAAGTCTCTCCAGCATCTCGGGATCTCAACAACTGTCAAAGATGTGCGGGAGAGGCCGGGCACAGTGGCTCACGCCTGTAATCCTAACACTCTGGGAGGCTGAGGCGGGAGGATTGCTCGAGGTCAGGAGTTCAAAACCAGCCTGAGCAAGAGCGAGACCCCATCTCTACTATAAATAGAAAGAAATTAATTGGCCAACTAATATATGTAGAAAAAATTAGCCGGGCATGGTGGCGCATGCCTATAGTCCCAGCTACTCAGGAGGCTGAGGGCGCAGGATCACTTGAGCCCAGGAGTTTGAGGTTGCTGTGAGGAAGGCGGACGCAGGGCACTCACTCTAGCCTGGGCAACAAAGCGAAGCTCTGTCTCAAAAAAAAAAAGATGTGAGGGAGAGAGAAACAAATGGCTCCATCTACCCTTCTTGCTGGACTCCAAGCCTCTTGCAGGTTGATCTTGGCTGATACCCTTTTTCTTCTTGTTCTATACTGCAACTCTTCCCTTGGTATCTCCCAAAGGCTCTGGCACTGTGTCTTCAGACCCACATCTGATCTATGTCTGTATGTCTGTTCATTTCTTCTCTTTCATCTAAAACTCCTTCTTACAGAGATGCTCTGGTAGCTGGTGTCTCTGGTCAGCCATCTTGATCCTCTCACCCCTATTGTAAGTGTTTGAAGCTATACTTTTTCTCTGGTCACTGCTTTAAATATGTTCAATTGATTCTGGTCTTTAGTACTTCATGATCATTATTTTACAGAGATTCTGTTTGTATTTCATTTTCACTCAAAAACTATCAACAAATTTTAAAATTTCTAGGTGGAAGAGTTTTTGTTTTTTTCCTTTTATTTCATTATATTATGGGGGTACAAATATTGTTAGGGTTACATATATTGCCCCTGCCACCCCCCCCCATGCCAGAGCTTCAAGCGTGTCCAACCCTCAGGTGGTGCGCACCACACCCATTATATAAGTATGCACCTTTCCCCTCCTCCCCCCTTTTACCTGCCCACCACCCGATAAGAATTTTTTTTTTTTTTTTTTTTTTTTTGAGACAGAGTCTCACTTTGTTGTCCAGGCTAGAGTGAGTGCCGTGGCGTCAGCCTAGCTCACAGCAACCTCAAACTCCTGGGCTCAAGCGATCCTTCTGCCTCAGCCTCCCGAGTAGCTGGGACTACAGGCATGCGCCACCATGCCCGGCTAATTTTTTATATATATATCAGTTGGCCAATTAATTTCTTTCTATATATAGTAGAGACGGGGTCTCGCTCTTGCTCAGGCTGATTTTGAACTCCTGACCTTGAGCAATCCGCCCGCCTCGGCCTCCCAAGAGCTAGGATTACAGGCGTGAGCCACAGCGCCCGGCCAAGAATTTTTTTTTGACATTTTGGTTACATTGTATATCTTTGCCTCTCCCTAAAAAGGGTTAGAGGTATTCCCTTCCCCTCCACAATGCTCACCACATCCCTAGGATGTGGGTCTCTCCTCCCCCTGTCCCCACCCCCCAAATCCCTGGTGATTACTACCACCATTTGAGCACCATAGTTTTAATCAGTCAGTACCAATTTGATGGCGAGTTGATGTGGAGCCCATTTTCCTGATCTTGTGTCGCCTCACTTTGGATAACGGTCTTAAGCTTAATCCAGGATAGCATAAACGGTGCTAGCTCACTGTCATTTCTTAGAATTGAGTAATATTCCATTGCGAGCATATACCAAATTTTAATTATCCACTCCTGAATTGACGGGCCCTTGGGTTGTTTCCATGACCTTGCAATAGTGAATTGTGCTGCCATAAACATTTGGGTGCAGATGTCTTTATAATAGAATGTCTTATGCTCTTTTGGGTAGATGCCCAACAATGCTATTGCAGGGTCGAATGGTATTTCTATTTCTAGCTGTTTGAGGTATCTCCAAATTCTTTTCCACAAAGGTTGCACTAATTTGCAGTCGGTGGAAGAGTTTTTAATGGTTTTTTATTTCATTTTTAACTGCTAATTTTGTGCATTTTGATCAGTGTTGATTCTAATATGTCTGCATTATGATATTTACTTTCTTAGTAACCTAATTTTCCTTGTTGTCCTCAAACAATAGGAGCTGCTTAAGCCATTTTTTCTGAATATTCCATGTATGTTTGAAGAGAAGGTGCATTTTCTAGTTTCTATTCTTATAGTATTTGATATATATTTATAAGGTCTACCTTATTGATTATATTGTTTAGCTTTTTTATATTCTTATTTTTGTCCATGGACCTGCATGTCAAAGTCTCTTATTATTAGTATGTTTCTGTTTTTTCTTATATGATCTGTAGGTACTGTGTTGCTTTACACATAATCTTAATTTTATATATTGATTGCAAACGGTGACTTTGAGCTTTATAAAGTGTTCTCCTTGGTCAGATTTAATTCTTTTGATATCTGGATTTCAACCTCTGTTTTCCTATTGTCTTCGTTTGCCAAGTGTATCTTTGTCCATCCCATTACTTTTAGTCTTTCAGATCATGATGTTTTAGTATTTTTCTTGAATCAGCATAGAATTGAGTTTTGCTTTATGAGCCAAAATGTGCATTTGAAAGACTGAGGATGTACCTTTACAATAAAAATAAAACAGGAAGTGTCAAAGTGAAATGTCAGAGATATCCACTATCAAACTTAGTCCATAAGGAATTTGGCCACTTCATACTTAATAACATAATACATTTCATTTACTTCCCTGAAGAATATAAGCTGTGAGAACCTGGGAGGGCTTTTTGGCTATTTTTTTTTTTTTTTTTTTGTCATTGCTGTCTTTACTACCTAGATGAGTATGGACACACAGAAAGTTTTAATACGTATTAGTCAAATGAATGAATGAAAGGTGGGGAAATAGGAAATGCAAAGAAATTTTAAAGAAATTCTAAAATTCTAATTTAGCCTGACTCCTTCTGAGATCCTTTACTGCAACTCTATAGAGTTGGAGACATAGCACTGTGGCACCTCCTTCCTTAGTCTCTGGTGTGACTGCAGACCCAGCCCAATCTGGTTCAACTTTGTGCAGTAAAATGGTGAATTGCTTTTTAGTTGCCATGGATCCTTAAGGTTGCAAGTTATATAAGCTGAGCATGCCCGGATGACCCAGGTGTGCAACCACAGGAGGAACTAAAGTTCTTGGATTGAGGAATAGGGACCAAATTAAAAACAAGGCTTAGCATCACCTCATGGCAAGATCCAATCCGATCACACCTCATTATACTCTGCCTATAAAACCTGCTCCAGCTGTCAGCTCGGGGAGACAGATTTGAGTGTTGCCTCTGTCTCCTTGCCAGCTTACTGGCAATAAAACGGTTTATTTTTTCAAAATCCAGTGCTATGATATTGGCTTCTATGTGCATTGGGTAGCAAGCCCATTGCTTGCTTGGTAAAAATTCCTGAGTGCTGACTTTGCTTAGGGGAAGGAATCGCTGTGTTTTGGTTGATGGTTGACTGACTTTCCTACTGTCTCCCAGATAATGTTGCTCTGAGCCTTCATCACCACCGAAAGATCACTTCCAGATTTCTCAGAAGGGTTTTTCTCTTTGACCAAAACACAGGGTTCTTCTGCAACCTGTGGACTTCCTAGTTATTGTTTATTGTCATATAATAGACATTAGGAGTGGAGGAGAGGGAAGTTAGAGTTGTTGGTTAATGGCTTCTGTTTCCTTAGTGTGCAGGAGGCTAGATCAGCTGTTGAGAGGAAGTAGGGTACGGATGATGAAATTCGGAAACTTCACTGATGAGATGAGGACAGGCAGCTGACAAGAGAAAACAGAATTGTTGAGCAGAACAAAATGAACAATAGGTAATATGTTTATAAGATGTATGTTTTTTGCATAGTGCATTGCTAGCGTTAAAGGAAGAATGCAGATTCCCTCCCACTGTCAGGAGACTAACAAGCAAGAATTAATAACATGTTGTGATTTGCTTATGGGGATTCTTGTTGTCCTCAAATAATAGGAGCCGTTTAACCTGGGAAACCCCACAAGACAGGCTGGTCATTAGCGCTTATCAGACATCAGCAAGCATGTGAGCAGGGGTAGACTGTAAGAACACTGGGCCTTACAGGAGGCAGATTTCATGGCCATTAGTCCCAGGGCGATTCACTGTTAACCCTGAGGTTGCAGGGTGACTGAGGTTGTGATTTATGAGGATTCCTTGTGGGAGTTGTGCTATTACCAGGCGGAGCCTCCTGCAGAATCATTCGCTCTCGCAGGATCAGTCAAGTCCCTCTTCCCCCAGCAGAGGGAGAGGCTGTTGGTAACCAGATGCCCTGGTTCTTGCCTTTATCAGATGACCCTAAAGTTCAATATTGAGATTTATTTTTCAGATTAAAAACTTGGACTTAGCAGAAAATCCAGCAGTGCGCCATGATCATACTCTAGACAAGCAGTGTAGGAACAGAAGAAATCATATCAGGGGAGGCTCAAGAACTGTAGGGGTGGGCCTACAGCCATTGGGACCTCCAGGAGGGGTGAGGAGACATCTGCAGGATCCAGGTCTTGGGATCTGGGACAAGGATTTTGGGGTAGGAAATGGTAAGGTCGCTTCTACAATGGAGCATAGAGCAATCTTATGACAGAAAGGAAAAATTGGAGTCCATACCAACAGAAAAGGAAGGAAAATAACATTTACAGGGCACCTACTATTCATCTGATATTTGTCTATGCTTATTACATGACATTAACACATTCCATTTATATCTCACAGCAGTTCTGTGAATGTTATAATGTCTCCAGCCTGCAAGTGACAAAACTGAGGCCTAGAGAAGCTAAGCAGCTTGTTCAGAGGCACAAGCTAGTAAGTGGCCAACCTGAGGTTTAATCCTCAGTCTCCTAACTCCACATCCAGAGCTCTTATTAGCTTATCCCACTTGTGTAGAAGGTCGTGGCAGCCAAGCCACTGAGTGTCCAGACTTTAGTCATATTCTGGCAAGAGGCCTGTGTTTTATTAAATGTCTGTTGACGAACGAATACAAAAATCTGTTGTCTCTTTTTATGTTTCAGGACTCTGCTCATTACTCTGAACCTCCGCTGTCTTCTTTCATAGCCCGTTGGCTCATGGTTGATCTTCTCCACTGCTGTGGGCTCTGTCTGTCCCAAGCAGATACGAAGGAAAGGTCTTTCTTCTGTTGCCACTAACCGACATGGCGTCTCATTGCTAGCACACCTGGAGAATGGGCAAAGAAGGAGAGGGGGAAGGACTGTCTACCCACCTATTTTATCTCTTCCCCTGTCCCCATTCAAAAGCCCTCTTTGCTACTCTCAGGCCATGTTGGGGAGGGAGACCTCGAGAGAAACCAAAGCTTTCGCCTGTGTCTGCTTCCTCATTTGTTACCTGAAGATCATATTGATTTCTTGAGGTCTTCCCAATCTCTCCTCTTTTTTCCCCTTATAAATCTACTTGCCCTGGGGCCTGATTAGACTTTTAAAAACAATTGCTTGAGGTCAGGGGTTTGAGACCAGCCTGAGTAAGAGCGAGACCCCCGTTTCTACTAAAAATAAAATAAAATAGAAAAAATTAGCCAGGCAACTAAAAATAGAAACAATTAGCCAGGTGTGGTGGCACACGCCTGTAGTTCTAGCTACTTGGGAGGCTGAGGCAGAAGGATTTCTTGAGCCCGGGAGTGTGAGGTTGCTGTGAGCTAGGCTGACGCTGCTGCGACATTCTAGCTCAGGCGACAGAGTGAGACTCTGTCTCAAAAAAAATAGAAAACTTCCTCCCCCATTACATTTTTTTACTTTTTTTTTGGAGACTCAGGCCGACCACCTCAAATGGGCCACCCTTTGTTGCTGCTTTTGCACTTTACTCCTGCTGTGCCCTTTCTGCTTCCCTACGGCGTCAGTCAGGGCTCTCTGGAGAAACAGAACCAGCAGGATGTATGTGTGTGCGTGTAAAGAGATAATGCATACAAGAGTCGGCTCACACAGTCACGGAGACTGACAAGTCCCCACATCTGCGCCCGGCAAGCTGGAGATCCAGGAGAGCTAGTGGTGCAGATCCACTCCCAAGGCCAGTAGGCTCGAGACTTGGGAAGGACTGATGCTTCAGTTCAGATCTGAAGGCAGGTAGAAATTGATGCCTCAGCTCGAAAGCAGTTAGGTAGGAGGAATTCACTCTTACATGCAGGAGGTTTAGTCTTTTAGTTCTAGCCAGGCCTTCAACTGATAGATTGAGGCCCACGCACGTTAGGGAGGGAAGCCTGCTTTACTACTAATTGAAATCTTAATTTCATCCAGAAAACTCTCACAGACACACCCAGAATAATATTTATTTAGTTAGTTTTTTTGAGTCAGAGTCTTACTCTGTTGCCTGGGCTAGAGTGACGTGGCGTCAGCCTAGCTCACAGCAACCTCAAACTCCTGGGCTCAAGCGATCCTTCTGCCTCAGCCTCCTGAGTAGCTGGGACTACAGGCATGTGCCACCATGCCCAGCTAATTTTTTCTACATATTTTTAGTTGGCCAATTAATGTCTTTCTATTGTTAGGAGAGACGGGGTCTCACTCTTGCTCAGGCTGGTTTCGAACTCCTGACCTTGATTGATCCTCCCTCCTCTGTCTCCCAGAGTGCTAGGATTACAGGCATGAGCCACCACACCCGGCCCAGAATAACATTTGACCAAATATCCAGGCACCCTGTGGCCCAGTCAAGATGACACATTAAATTAACCATCACAAGTCCACCTCTGGAAACTTAATGCCTATTTGCGTCTCCTTAAAACATACTTAATCTCTAAATAAAGATTTTAACAAAGTCGTAATTCCCTCTAACATGATACAACTATCCTATGTGTGACTGAAAATGCACTAACCAGGTCCCCAGAAGAGGAGGTAATGTCCTTGACTGATGTTTATTCTTTTCTTTGATATCCTGTGACTTAAATACTATGGTGTAAAATTAGCAGTATATACTATGATATAAAGACATCTTATGGTAGATAATAAGGGAATGAAAGAGGGAAAAATAAAGATTTTATATATAAATTTTACTAATATGTATATTATATATGTATATACACATAAAAATCTCATGACAATTATAGTCCTCATTTCTGTAACTGGTCATGTGGTCATAGCTGGTATTTATAACTACCTTCTTCCACTACCCATTCTGTACTCCATTTGCCTTCCACTGGTTGTGGTTTTTCACCTAATGGGATGACCCAAACTTCATTTCTGAGGGGTCTGGGCCATTAGTAGTCCCACCTGGATTGTGATGTTGCAGTTTTTCATTGACTTTCATCGTAGGTCCTAGTAATACTAAGAGATGCCCTTAAGGGATCTCTTGTGTTCCAGACATACTCTTCTTTATCTCCCTTGTGACGTGGTAGTCCCATTTCCTTTTGGTAGTCAGGTTTAAACCCTACCCAGCACAGTAACTTGCTTTTTTAACCTGCTGATTCTGGAGGAGCTCAAAGTGGCTGGGTGGTGGTCTTACCTTCCAATTCAATGAAATTATTGTTGTGTCTTCTGGTGGAAACATTTCTCCCTCTAGATTTAAGATTTCTAGGCCACAGGAGTTTGAGGTTGCTGTGAGCTAGGCTGACGCCACGGCACTGGAGCCCAGGCAACAAAGTGAGACTCTGTCTCAAACAAACAAACAAACAAACAAACAAACAAACAAACAAACACCAAAAAACATTTCTAGGCCAGCAGAGCAGATAGTCGTGGGAACAAGAAGTAAAAGTTTGGATAGTGGGACACTGGGCATAATAGTGAGTGGTGCCACTTCCATTTGCACCTCTTGATTTCTGGACCCTGGCTACGGGAGAAACAGCACCATACATTGGGCACTGATTCAGACTACACACAATCTTCTGGAGAATTTTGCCTTAGCCCTGCAAGGTATTGCCACCTAGCTGATTCTATAATTGAATCTTCAAGATTCCACCATTCTATCAAACCAGCTGCTTCAGTATTGTGGGGAAGATGGTAAAATCTATGAATTTCATGAGCATGGGTCCATTACCACACTTTATTTTCTGTGAAGTGAGTTCTTTCTTCAGAAACAATGCTATGTGGGATATCGTGACGGTGGATAAGGCATTCCATGAGTTCACAGATAGTAGTTTTGGCAGAAGCATTGTGTGCAGGCAGGCAAATCCACTCCCAGAGTGTCTGTTCCAGAAAGAACAAAACACTGCCCCTTCCATGATGGAAGCCATCCAAGGTAATCAACCTTCCAGCAGGTAGCTCTCTAACCCCCTGGGGGAATAGTGCCATACTGGGGACTCAATTTTGGTCTCTGCAGCTGGCAGAGTGGGAACTCAGCAGTGGCTGTCTCCAAGGAGAATGTGGTGAATAGTTCCTGTTGCTGAGCCCATGCATAACTTCCATCTCTGCTACCATGATGACTTTGTTCATGAGCCCATTGGGTGATGACAGAGGTGTATGGGGAAAGAAGCCAATTAGTATCCACAGTATAGGTCATTCTATGCACTTGATTATTAAAATTCTCATTGGCTTTTGGTGAACATTCACAGGGGACACGAATATGTTTTTGGCCCTCTCAGAGAGATTTACCTCTTTACCAAATTTCCTTGTCATAATTTTCCAACCATGTTCCTTCCAAGTTGCTGACCATCTCGCCAAAACATTGGCCACAGCCCACAAATCCATATATAGTCACACATCTGGCCATTTCTCCATCCAAATAACATATGCAGTCTGTGCACTGGTTGAACTTCTGCCCACTAGGAGGATTTCTCTTCACCACGGCCCTTTAGGGATGGCCTGGAAAAGGACTATAGTGCTGCCACTGACCACGTTTTGGTGGTGCCTGCACATCATACAGGACCTTCTGTAAACCAAGGCTGAGTTTTCTCTTCCTCTTTCAAATGATCCTCTGTCAACTAATCATTGGGAACTCCCCATTGGCCATAGGTACAGGCTGGGAGAGAGAAGGTAGTGTAGCAGAAGTGAGGACCATGGGTATTTGGGCCACTTTTTCATATAACTTTCTTGTGCCTTCAGGGCCTTCTTGGGCCCCACCGTGTATACACCACTTCCATTTGTTAATGGAGTACTGCTGTGCATGCTCGACTGTATGATGTGGTGGGTCAGATAACAGCCACCTGGGATGGACAGCTCAGGTCACATGGCAACTTGGTGGCCTACAATGAAGCATTCAATCTCTACTAAGGCAAGTAGTAAGCCAAGAGCAATGAAACCACATCTGGTACAGTAACTTCAGCTGAAGTCACCATCTGCTGAAGCTTTTAATAATCCACTGTAATTCTCCAAGATCCATCTGTCTTCTGAACAGACAAGATAGGCAAGTTGAATGGGGATGTGGTAGGAATCACCAACCCTGTGTCTTTCAAGGCCTTAATGGTGGTAGTAATCTCTCCAATCTTCTAGGAATGTGGCATTGCTTCTGGTTTACTGTTTTCCTCGGTAGAAACAGTGGTAGTGGCTTCCACTTGGCCTTTCCCACCATGATAGCCCTCACTCCATAGGTCAGGCAAGCAAGGTGGAGATTAGCTGAGTATGTCTGTTCTAGTCATGCATTTTAGAATTGGGGAAATAATTACAGGGTTCAGGGACCCACTGTACTCACTGTGAGATGAGCTAAACCATCATTGATTACCTGATCATCATAAGCCCCTACTGTGACTGGTGGACCAAATTCACATTTTGGGTCTCCTGGAAAATTAGTGTCAGTTCAGAGCCAGTGTCCAGTAGTCCTGGAAAGGTCTGATTGTTTCCTTTTCCCCAGTGCATAGTTACCTTGACAAAAGGTTGTGGGTTCCTTTAGGGAAGGGTGAAGAAATACAACAGTATATATTTTAAGCAGTGTACAGCATCCTTCCTTAAGGAGACGTAGCCTCCCCTTAATTCAAAAGGTTCTAGTCTGTTAACTAGCTTAAGTCTAGAAATGATGGTGGGGCTATGACTCTCTGTTTTTAGGGTTCAGGTTAGGCTTTTGCTCACTTGACCTAGAACTTTTCTGATTATATAGATCAAGTAAGAATTTAGTTGGTTTCTTATTTCATTTCTAGAAACAGCCAGTGCCTTAGGTGTGCTTGAGTCAGACTATTCTGATTGCCACTTTGACTCTACTGTTCATTATGGTAACCACATCCACCTTGACTTTGGTTGCTGAGTGCCATCACTTGGCCCCTGCCACCCCAGGACACATTATTCCCATGGTATTTAGGTTTTCTAATTCAGTGGCTGCAGTTCCTACCATAAGGTCTGGCCTGCAGAGAAGAGTGATCACAGAGCTTTTCAAAGATACTAGGGCTCCTCTCACAAATTTATTTTTCACAGAACTAGTTAAAGGTATGTTTTCTGGACCCCCTACCTTCTTTCTGGATGAGTAGATCTTAAATGACAGATCCACTCTAACATTCCAAACTCCTTAAGCCTTTGAATCCCTTTCTCTACATTAAAACAAAGCAGGTGTTATTTCTAACCTGCTCACATGAGTCACCTCTTGGACCATGTTTCAACCAACCAACCAACCAACCAACCAACCAACCAACCAACCAA